GAGAATACCAATAGGAGTCGCATCCAAGTCTAATCCCCAGTTTGGTGACTTACTGCCATGTGATCCTAGGTAAATGAGCTGCCTTGCATTGCCTCCCCCATTGGCATGGGGATGAGAAAACAGGTAAGAAATAGAAGATATGGGAAACGTATGATAGAGTCCATGCCTGCCAACCATAAGTGTTAAATAAATGTTGGCCACCTTCTTCCTTCCACCATATAAAAACGTGGTTCATATAACATAATTCTTTGGATTTTTAAATCAATGTTGAATGTCTGAGAAATTGCAAAACACACTTAGACTGGGACAACAGCAAAACTTCAGCTCCCTAGAAAGTTAAATTGGATTATTCTGTATGATATATTTACTCGGGGTTCTTTTGACTCTGGTAAGAGAAAAAAAATCACCTCTCGCTAGCAGCCTATAGTCCTCTTAAAATTAAATTAGATCATAATAATAAGTAAAAACGCATAATTTAACTCCATTTATTACCCTTAGCAAAAGGTACTGAGTGAGATAAATGTCTGATATATGGCAATGGACTGAATGTGGTTTGCCCAATAAGAGTTAGAAGTGTGACCACATGAAGAGGTGGTGGGACCATTAAGAAGCAGGCTCCATTGGAAGGTGATTAAGGTCTTTGGAGGCTCTCCACTTAGAAAGAATGGATGCTGTTCTTGTGGGACCTTGTGTAGTTGAAATAGGTTGTTACTAACAAGAGTAAGATGGGCCCTTCCTCTTGTTCACTCTGGTTTCCTGTCTTACCATGTGATCTCTGGCATATGTACCCGCCATGATGCCATCTGCTATGAAGCCCTCATCACCACATTATGCTATTTAAAACTTCAATCTTTGAACTCTGAGCTAAGTAAACTTCTTTTCTTTATAAAATTCCAAGCCTCAGGTATTCTGTTACAATAATGGAAAATGATACACTCAACACAGATTCCATTAATAGAGAACCCACTAGTCTCCCCCCAACACTACCAATAATCTACCCTGTTAAACACTGTTTCCATTCTTCCAATGTTCTGAATGACTGCCTACCAATTTCATTCTTAAGTCCAGAGCATTTTTTTGCATTAAGTCAAGTGTGTAAGTAAATTCCAAAACAGAGATATTCTATCCAGTCCAGTTTTATAGGTGCTTTTCAAACATTATTAATACAAACAGAAATTAAATTTCTTGTGGTAATTAAATCCTACCATGTATATATTTGTGATAACATATATGATACAGTATTAATTCAGCAAAAAAAAACAGCTGTATGATTTCAAGTTCTACCAATTCATTGTTGAATAAAAAAGTCCATACTTTCGATTCTTTTATTTTTTAACCATTAACCCCAAAACATTTGTGTCTGTGCAGAATTGAAACTCTATCTAGCATTCAGGCTAGAATAAGACAATGTGGAGTCTTCTGCCTATATAATTAGCCTTGAAGAACTAATGTTTCTAACAAGTGTATCATTAAAAAACATTTTCACATTAGCAACTAGTACTGTTTTCACTTAGCACCTCTGTAAACAAGCTATATACACTCTAAACACATACTTAACCCAATTACATTTTGGAGTCCTCTTAAAGAATGGCTACCATAGTAAAGAAAAATATTTTCTTTTAACTAACAATGCCTCAGCCTAAAGGATTACCTCAAATCCTTGGCAAAGTGAGGTCAGATAGACATGCCAAATGAATATGAATAAAATTATGAATAGAATAGTCTCTTATTTACATAAACAGTGTCTATATAGCAGCAAGGAAGAAGTTGAAAGTACTTACCATAGGAGTTGGTAAATCTCAGTATGGAGGGGCAATGGATTATGGAGCATGGATTATTGGGCTTGAATATCTTGTGTTGAAGCCTCAATCCACTATTATTTTATGTTAAATTAGCCAATGAATGAGTTACTCAAATTTCCTAAATTTTAATTTCCTCTTCAGTAAAATGGAACTCACGAACAGTACCTATCTCTCTGGAGTTTTATGATGATTAAAGAGATTATCTATGTAAAAGAATCCAGCATATTAGCTGACATGTAGCAAATACTCAGTAAATGTTAACTATTATTACCATCACTGCCCTATAAATACACATATACACACATATATATGTATATTTGCATATACACACAAGCAATTGTATACATTCATTTCTTCCATATACAAAACAAGCCAACGGGCCAAATCAAGCCAACTAGTGAAATCCTATATTCAAACCATGGAGCTCAGCTTCTATTCATTAGGCCTTAAGCTGCTTCTTGTTGCCAGCGTATAGCTCATCATCATGAGCAACCAAAAGAACAATCTGGTTACTCATACTATATCACATTAATATGTAAATTCATCACTTCAGCAAGAAAATCACAAACAAGTAGTTCATTCATGACTCATTTTATTCATAACAATCTCAGACTTGTCACCAAAAATTGGTTTTTATAGCTACAGTTAAATGAAGTAAACACAGTCACATCCAAATTCATTCAGTGGTGTTTAAGAAAATCAGTTTAAGCAAATGATCTGAGAGAAAAAGATGTAGTTAGCACTAAATGCAATAATCATGAGCAAACAATTTACACAAGCAATGACCCCTTGTTTTATGACTACACTCGAGAATTGCACATTTGGCCATGGTCTTTAAATGAAAACAGCTACATGTAAAAAGCTAAATCTTTTTTTTAAAAGGATTTTATATTTAATGCAAAATCTTTGGGTAATAAAGAAAAAGTTAAAAGGTTTCAGTGCAATGTGAATACTGTTTTTTCTTCTTTTGCCTCAGCTGAATCTTTTATCAAAATAGAGAACTTCGTTTTCCCTAAGGTTGGGTTATAATTAGAAATTAGACTCCTCAATAATTCAATGACTGAAATCTTTATTAAAGTCAAATGACCTTTCTAATTAAGTTTTCTCCTTAATATATAAGCTCTGCTAGGCAAGTGCCACCTCTACAGGTAATGAAGTCTTTACATATTTGCTAATTAAGCTTTCCCTCTCTTTTCTTCCTTTGCTTTATCATTCTAACAGTAATTAATTATTGGTAGAACTTTTAAAATACAACAAATTCCTAGTACATTCTGTTAAGTGCTCTGGTTTTTATATTTATAACGTTCCCATTTTCATCCCACCATGAAAAATGTTCAAGATTAAATATTTTACTCTTCTGTATCTCTTTCATTTTTTTTAATTCTCATTAGAAAAAAATATAGCTAGTAAGGGGGAATGTGCTCAATTTTATTATAGCATTAATAAGACTTAGAATTTACAAATCTGGAGAGTAGAATTGAGATATGTGCATAATATTCACATTAAGTCCAAAAGCTCTGGCCACGAATAACGCACTTAGAAGGTAAGTTCACCCAAGTAAATATGAAAATATGGTAGTTATACTTAAAATACTTAAAATTTCAATCTTTAAGTATTTGTTTAAAAAACAAATGCAGTTAATCAAATCTACCCCTTCACCAGAAGTCTAAGATGACGTAGGCAAAATGCTTCACTGTCACTTTTTCCATTAATCATTAATAGATTATAAGACAGAGGCAAAGTGATTAAGTTAATAAAGCAAGAATAGCAGACAATTGTCACCAATTTTACTTCTTAGGTTATCTGTATCGTTCTTGAGAGAGATGAGAAATAAAGAGAACCATCTGACAGATGAAGCATCTGAGAGAAAAAATATGCACCTTATGAATATTAAGACCCCCCCCCAAAAAAAAAGATGTGGGAATATCCAGCTCTACATTTTACACATCACCAAGCACTAACAAAAAAAAAAAAAAAAAAAAAAAAAAAAAACACGAACAGGAACCTTTTGCTGTGCAAGTCACTCACATGCCGAATATAAAGAATAAAGTACAATCTCTGGATCGTCCCTCTCCAGCTCACTCTCAGCTTCTGTACATTTCTACCTGGTTTACTACTAGGAAACACATTTCGGCTTTCATGGTGCTTCTAAATGGGTTTCTTAGTAAATGTCTGCACTCTTCGGGCAAGGCCATTAAGGTAACTTAATCCTTTGTGAACTGCTCAGTAGAATAAACGTTGGTTCCTGATTTTAAAAATTAATTCTTTAGCTTTTTCTGTATTAAGAGTCATAAAGAAAGCCTAAGAACAATTTGGATTCAAAATGTTACCTTGAAGACTTGCAGGGCAAATAAGAGCTCACGGAACGGAAGAGGATGCTGGGGGAGGGGGCACCGAGAGAGTGCGAGAAAGATGCTGGTCAGTCCTGAGATGATGCAGGAATGACATGGCACCTGGACCACACAAGTCCACGTCTACCCCCTGGCTGTCTGTGCCTCGGGTTCCAGGACACATGCCTAGAGCTGTGAATAGGCGCACAAGCAAACACACCAATTTTATTCTTCGACTTTCCAGGGAGGAGAATGGTAGGGAAGAATCTCTAGAAAAAGCTTCAGCACAACAAGCGTTTTCTTTCTCCTCGCACCCCGCCTTCCCAGCTAGGGACAGGCGACGCTGGTCTGGAACAGTACACAACTGAGAGGATCAGAGAACCAGGATGAGAAGAAAGCATCACTGCAAGGGGGGAGGGTCGGGGGATGAAACCCCACAGCCTGGCAGAGAGCCTCGGGGAGGGTGACAGGAAAAGGAGGAGGATGTTGAGCCGGGAAACCGAAGAGAAGAGGTCTGGAAAGCACCCGGCGCGTACGCATCCAGGCTGCCCAGGGCTGGCGCGCGCCAGGCGGGGGAAGTCGGTCCTGGGGTGGACCCCTCCCCTGGCTCCCCAGCCGGAGGAGCGGGAGGAAATGGCTTTGTATCGCAGGATGAAAGGGAGACAGGGGGGCCACCAGGCAGGGGGCGGGGATGGAGGATGCCCGGAGCAGGGAGGACCCCGCCCGTCCCGCTGCCAGCGCCGCTCTGCCCCGCATTCGGCCGCAGCCCCGGGTCCACGCTCCGGCTCTCGCCGCCCGGCCAGAGTCCAACGGCCTGGGGCAGGGTCACCCCTGGGCTGCGCCCCCACCCCGCGCCCTGTGCGCTCACCTGCCCACGAAGTTCTCCAGCACCGAGCTCTTGCCCGCGCTCTGGCCGCCCACCACGGCGATCTGTGGCAGCTCCAGCAGGCAGGTCTGTCCCAGCGCCGAGAAGGCGTCCTGCAGACGGTTCACCAGCGGGATCAGCTCCTCCATCTCCCTGTTCCCCATCTTGCCTGCGCGGCCAGCTGCCCACGGGTCCCTGTTCGCCTCTGCGCTCTGGCCAGGAGCCGGGCCGCGCTGCCCTCACGGACGTCGCGGCGCTGGGATCAGAGCGCGGGTCCGGGAGCAGATGACGGATGCAGCCGCTGGCCCGCAGCTCCTCGCCTGACAGCTAACAGCCCCACAGAGCGCGTGCGCGGGCGAGGGGCGTGGCCTGGCGCCCAGACAGCCCGCCCCTCCGCGCCCCGCCCCTCGGCCGCCCCGCCCGCGTCCCGGACCTACAGCCCCGGCTGGGCGCGCCCGCACTGCCTCCCAGCTGTGGCCAGATGCCACCGCCTCTACCTTCTTCTGCCGAGGCTAACAGCAAAGTTGCAACCCTGGGTCGGAGACTGGACCCCAATCGCCATCAGCTGGCAGCAACGCTTCTTTCCAAATAGCTACGATGACAAAGCCGGGTGGAAGGCACTTATCGTAGCTGACCACAGACACTGTCACCAGCGCCACTGCCTCCAGAGTTCACTTCCCACAAGGAAATGTCATGAGTCACGCCCTACCCCTGCATCTCGATGGCCTCGCTTGGGAGGTAGTTACCCTGCCGGACTCTAAATTCTTCCGTCGGACATCCATTCGAGGCCCTGAATAAACTGTCCTTATCTATTGATCTTTTCCGACTTTTCTCCCCAGCCTCGCTCGGGTAAGAAAAGGTGTAGCTCATCTGGATTTCCTTCCCCACCCCCACGTCAATCTATCAAGCTCATTCTGGCCTTTCAGACTCCTTAAACCGTATCTCTTCCCAATATATTTGCCGGATAGGATAGGAGATAGAGTGCGAAGGTCTGTCAATCACCGTGAATGCGGTACTCTACCCTTCAGTTAAATTTAGCACACTGAGCAGTGACTGTCTGTCAGATCCTGTGCCTCCCGATGCAGACACAAAGATAAATGGCCACGCTGTTTAACCTCTTTAAAGGATTCCTCTGCCCTCTGCTCCTCAAATGTCAGTTCTCCTCGGGCGTTAATATATAGGCATTTTCTTGTCTCACGCGTTGGGCTCCACCTGAAGAGTTTCCCATAGTTTTAACTTAGCATGAAGACTAGAGACCACTGAAATATAAATAGCTAGGGCATGTCTGTATCCTGCACTTCAAAAGGATCCCAGGTCTCACTCTCGGAATGTCCCCAGAGTACCTCTGACTCGGCTTACTCAAAATTGAGCTCCTCTTTTCTAATCTGAACATTTAATGCAAGAAATTTCCCTCTACCCCTAAATAAGTTTGGGTAAAAATGTTCACAACAATCAAAAACCTGGAAATAATCAAAGCCCATCAACAATAAATGAGGGGCTGGGGATTTAGCTCAGCGGCAAAGCGCCTGCCTGGCAAGCGCAAGGTCATGAGTTCAGTTCCCGGTACCAGAGAAAAACCAAAAAAAAAAAAAAAAAAAAAAAAAAACAATAAATGAATAAACAAATGTAATATATGCATATAATATTCTTAGAAAAAAGAAAAGAATGTGGGAAGAGGAAAAAAGAAGGGAAAAAAAGATATGTATATATACACAAGATCGCTAAGATAATTGTACTACTAATTTCTATTAGTTCATTGAAAGGAACCATTAATGCTTACACTGTTTGATCAGTTTTGCATGCCTCTACCTGATAACCTGAGCAACTACTTTGAAGATAACAATGTTCAATATAATAACCATTGTTAATGTCCTATCATCTTGTATTGAAATTCTATATCATTTTTATTGTTTCTTATTGTTTTTGTCTTTTTCTTCTCTTTAAAATAAAGATAAATAAACAAAAATAAAATTACTTTACTGGAAAAAAAAGAAAAGAATGGACTTCTTAATAAAGCAGCAACTTGGTTGAATCCCAGATACATTACATAGAATGAAAAGGTCAAAAAGTACATATTGTTTAATTGCATACATATCAAGTTCTACAACAGGTCAAACTATTCTATGGTTGCATAATTCAGAACTGTAGTTGCATTTGAAGGGTGTAGATTGTATGAGGCATACGGAATCTTTCTGGAGTAATGGAACAGTTAATATCTTCATGGGGTGGGTATACATTTATTAAAACATCAAATTAAGTATTTAAATTCTATGTTTTTTGTTGTAAATTATGTACACCATATCTCATTTAAAAAAAAAAAAAAACAGGAGAGAAAGACAAGCCTAACTGAATGCGTCATCCTTTCCACCAACGTGGATATCTACTGGAACATCCACCCAGCACTCTAAGAATCGCTCCTCCATCCACCACATGAGTGCTGCTAGAACCACCATGAGGACAGAAGGGCATGCAGAGCAACTAACTGGGCCCTGACCACAGCTCTATGCACTGCAATGAGCAACTGACTCAAGCTGAATCAATCAAGGTCCTTTCCAAGGAAGGTAGAACTGAAAGACAGATTGGTCTTTGAGTGACTGGACTACAGGTGAGGAGTAAAACCAGCAACTGTAGTTAGTAATACTTTCAGAAATAGAAGGGGAATGCTGGTCTTCAGAGAAATAGACATAAAGACAGGAGCAGAAGGAAAGCAGAAGGGAGCCCTGATTGCACTGTCTCCTTATTGTAGTTATTTCCTGCTGTCAGCTACTCCTGTCCTGATATGAGCCAGATTTCATCTCTAAAGTTATAATGAATTCCCTTCTTCACCTAATTCAACTCAGATTTCTTTTTTTATTTTTATTTTTTCTTTCTTTCAAAGAGAAAAAAACAAAACAATGATACAAAAGTTCAAAACAAGGTAGTAAGAGTAACAATGGTTAATACATTACATACTGTTATCTTCAAAGTAGCTGCTCATATCACAATATACAGGCATGAAAAATTGATGAAACAATATAAGCACAAATCTTTCTTTTCAATGAACTACTAGAAATTAGTAGCACAACTATCTTAACTGTCATGTATATATATATATTTTCCTTTTGCCTTCCTTCATTTCTCTTTTCCCCCATCCCAGTTTCTCTTTCCTTTGGAACAGTTTCTTCCCATTTCACAATATCTATTGTACACTTTGGGTCTTAATTACTCTTTCAGCTTCTTGTACTATAGTATGGGAGACTTTATAATGTTTACAGGTGCGAGTCTGATATATTTCACTTATGAGTATGGTCTCTAGTTGCATCCACTTACCTATAGAAGCCTTGAGTTTATCCTTCTTTATAGCTGAGTAATACTCCATTGTATAAAAATACAATATCTTTTTATCCATTCCTCCATTGATGGGCATTTGGATTGTTTCCAAGATTTAGCTAAGACAAATTGTGCTGCTATACACATTGGTGCACATCTATTGCTATGGTATGATGTTTTCAATTTTTCTGGGAAAATACCCAGAAGAGGAATAGCTGGGTTGAATGGGACCTCCAACCCTAGTTTTCTGGGAACCTTCACACTGATTTCCACAGTGGTTGTACCAGTCTATACTCCCACCAACAGTGGAGAAGGGATCTTTTTACCCCACATCCTGCCAGCATTTGTGGTAGGTTGATTTTTTATGATAGCCATTTTTTCTGGGGTGAGACAGAATCTCAGTGTTATTTTAATTTGCATTTCTTGAATGACCAATGATGCTGAACATTTTTCATACATTTAATTCCCATTTGTATGTCTTCATCAGAGAAGTGTCATTTTTGATTGGGTCTTTGAACTGGGGAGGCTGACTTTTTTCAGTTCTTTATATGTGCTAGACAGAAGTCTTTTGTCTAGGGGACACTTAGCTAAATTTTTTTCACAGCTTGTGGGTTTTCTTTTCACTGTGTTGGAAATTTCTTTTGATGTGCAAAAACATTTTAAGAAGATGATATCACAGTTGTTGATTCTTCTAAGTAATTCCTGTGCACTTTGGTTTTTATTCATGAACTTTGCCTACCCCTATGTCTTCAAGATTTCTACCCACTTTCTCTTCCAGTACATTTAGTGTTTCTATTTTAATATTTATATCTTTGGTCCATTTTGACTTTAGTATAGTGCATGGTGATAGAGATGGACCTAATTTTAATCTTTGTCATACAGAAAGCCAGTTTTTCTAGCACCAATTATTAAAGATGCTGCCTTTCTTCCAGTGAACATGTTTGGCCCCTTTGTTACAGATAAGGTGGTTGAATGTATTTGTAGTTGTGTCTGCATCTTCTCATCTGTTTCATTGATCTTCAGGTCTTTTTTTGCCAGTACTATGCTGATTTAATCATAGTAGCTTAGTAGTATAATTTCAAGTCAGGGATTGTGATACCTCCTGCTTTACCTTTGTTGCCCAGGATTGCTCCTGCTATTCTAGGTCACCTCTGGTTTCAGATGAATTTTAGGAATGTTTTCTCTATATTTGTGAGGTATGTGAGTGCTATTTCAATCTGGTTTGCATTAAATCTGTATAACAATTTTGAGAGTATGGCTATTTTCACAATGTTGGTTCTTCCTATCCATGAGCATGGAATAGCTTCCCATTTTCTGAACTGTTCTTTGGTCTCTTTTCTTACAGTAGTGTAATTTTCACAGTATAGATCTTTTACTACCTTTGTTAGGGTGATTCCTAAGTATTTCATTTTTTTGGATGGATTGTACAGGGTATGGTTTCCTTAATTTCTCTCTTAGTGAGTTTGTTGTTTGTGTACAAGAATGGTATTGATTTCTGAGTGTTGACTTTGTATCCAGCTACCCTACTGAATTTGTTTATTAAATCTAGAAGTCTTTTGGTGGAGTTTTGGGGGTCTTCTATGTAGAATATCATGTCATCTATGAATAGCAATTTCACTTCTTCCTTTCATATCCTTATTCCTTTTATTCCTCTCTCTTCTCCCATTGCTCTGGCTAATGTTTCCAGAACTATATTGAATAAGAGTGGTGATACTGGACATCCTTGTCTTGTTCCCGATTTTACAGTGAAAGCTTTAGTTTTTGTTCATTTAGTATGGTGTTGGCTGTTGCTTTGTGATAGATGGTTTTTATCAGATTGAGATAAAGAACATCTATTCTGATTTTCTGTAGGATTTTTATCATGAATGTTGGACTTTGTCAAAAGCTTTTTCTGCATCTATTGAGATGATCGTGGGATTTTGTCTTTGGCTCTGGTGATACAGTGTTTTACATTTATTGATTTGTGTATATTAAACTATCCCTGTATTCCTGGGATGACTCCCACTTGGTCATGGTTTATAATCTTCTTGATGATTTACTGCATTCTGTTTGCTAGTATTTTATT